CAAAAAAGATAAAATAAACGAAGTCAAAAGCTACAAACAACAAAAGTAAACTACAAACAACAGAAGTAAATCAGAACACCAACAAAATTACAATGTTATTTGCAGAGCACACTAAAGAGAGAAAACATAAACAGACACATATTGAGTCGACAACTTTTTTGAAACGGAATACTTTCTGTTTGAAAAAAAAACAGGTCTTGTCAGATTTGCTGTCCAGGCCAAATGAGCCGAAGACACAGAGAAAAATGAATTTATTATGAACTGAGCCTAATTTTACCATTTCTAAATTGGACCAAACTGTGAGCAAAGTTAATTACAGGGAAAAAAGTCCAGCACCCGATTGCAAAACCCTTGCTTATCGCAAAAAAAAAACAGTACGAAGACTATAACTACCCCTTTCTCCTTCAGGCTTTCATAGTTTTGACCCATATCTAGTGGCATGGAGCTGTGGATCAAAAAGGACTTCTCGGCGCATTCTCAACTGACACAAAATTTGGAGATACAAGTCAAAAATCAATTTTAAGCCCTCGTCAGTCAAACTTTTGAGTTTAGAGAGACCTCGGAAAATTTTTCTCGGTTTTCAGGTCATCCAGTCTTAATATTTTTTTTAGTGTTAGCCAGAATGGACGACATTGTCTTAGAGCAAATTTTTCCGCAGATGCAAAATAGCAACTTGCAAACTCAAGCAACTTTCCGAACTGGAGTATTTTTTCTTAGTCATTCGTAAATTGCTGATGAACAATGAAAGTTTCATTATCACGTGTCTTATGAAATATATTGAAAATACACATACGACTCTCAAAAAATGATACACAAGACACTTTTTTGAAATTTCCCATAAATAAAACTTAATTCAATACTAAGAGCAATACGTCTGTAAACGCAATATTTTGATTCTTAGCATGTCTCAAATAAAATTGTAATGTTTCCTTGCCAATTTAATTTTTCGAATTTAATATTAACAGGTTAAAAAAACTGATGAAATCGCAAACATTTTTTTAATGGGTTTTTATATCAAAAATAATTACCAGGGAGGAAAATTGTGTTTTGTAATTGACTAAGCAAGCCATGATCCAAAATACACGAAATCTTATTATAGAAATGATTACACGAATAGAACACAAAAAAATGCTACTAAGTCTGGAAAAAGTTAGCTCACCACCCCATGACAATAATTTTTTTTTGCTATAAATTTACTAGTTTTATAAGCTGATTTTGGTTTAATCTACAAATCCTTCTTGACAAAAGGTACAACAAAATAAATTCGAACCCCCAGCAGCAGTGTTTTGTTGTTGCGCGTTATACGCAAGCAAAAAACCTAAAATTTGAAAAACAGTTTCGCCGGCAAAAAATTGAAAAATCAAAACAACTTTTTGTTGCAAGTTGAATCAATTCTTTCTCAGCAATTTTTAAGCAAACCCATAAATGTAATTAAAAAACATTGTTTAATCGGCTACCTATCAGGTGGAATTGTACTACCAATTTACTTTGATTTCAGTGCTAAAAATAACTATTATTTATCCTAACTTTGTAACCTTAGCTTTAGCTCATCTACACAAAAACAAAGCGAAAATCAAAAAAACTATTTGTTCTGGGAATCTATCGAACCGTTGTCCACATTATATTTTTTCAAGTTCTTTTTTCAGGAAATTATGTCACACACAGAGGCAAAAACTAACACAGAGGCGAAGCTGAGCTAATCCGAAAATCAAAAACAAAATCGAAATTAACAAAAGCTAAGTCTATGAAGTTGAATAAGGCTAATTTTGAAACAAAACCATGCCAAGATAATCTAATCCGAAATTAGCTTCGGAATAACACTAACTAAGCGGTAACAAAGCTTAAAATACTTTAGCAGAAACTTTCTATTCCGAAAAAACTCAACAAGAATCACAAAACACACACACGGAAAAATTTCATTCGCGCGTCAAAAGGAACAAAATGAGTCAACTAAGCCGATATAACATAGATCGAAACCTATTGAACCGCAAAAAAAACTAACAAAAAAGTTACTAATGTCAGGCAGATTCCAAAGGCAATCCGTCAGATTCTTGTTCACGCGTTGTTTTCTTAAGCGTCAGGAGGTTTATACATGGCATAACAACCATTAAATATATCAAGCAGACTCTATATCAGCAGTTCAGGTAGCGGGAGGCCAGGTCGGCAAGGTCCAAAACTAATTCATATTGCTATATATTGCTCTATTTAGTTAAATTTCTTGAAGTAAAAACTTTTTATATTCGCTAGAAACAGCATCAAGCAGCTCATATTCTTTTTTCAGCAAGTAAAATTTTAAATCGAAAAAAGGGCGTAAATAAAAAGGTTCTATAAGGCTAAAAGCGGCTGAGAATTTGGAACTACCGAGCTGCATTGATTTGTATAAATTTCAAGAACCTTTTATTTTAGGAAGTTGCAAACATTTACTCAAGGATAAGTAACTTTTGTGGCCCACTGGGAACTCATATCTAATTTCAAAATCATCATTTCTGGTGCCATTTTTAGAACCATAATATGTTATCCATCTACAAAATTAAATTCAAATAAAGCTTTTGAAGAATTCGGAAAACGAAATTAAATTTGCTTGGAACAACAAATTTCAACCCATTAATAAATTTAAGATAGTTTCTTTATCAACGCTTACAAAACATCAATTGAGTCCAAACGTCTCAATGAACTTAATGCGACCGAAAAGAAATTCCAAAACAAGATAACTGAGTTTATACTGTTCGCGTGTATGGTGACGAAAGAAAAACAAAAGGAAAAATTTATCAGGTAAAAGCTTTTAGCATATCAAATATCTTTTCCAATTGACACCTTGATCGAAGTTAATCTACTTTGAAAAAAAAATTGGATCTAAGTTTTTTACACTGGTGGTAAAATTGGATTGCAAATATAAGTAATTCACTTTTTTCTCCCCATTTGTACTTGTGTTATAGGAGAACGTTTTGTACCTCTAATTTAGCCCATGATTTTGATTTCAGTTTTAGAAAATCATTTGTGAAACCAGAAAACATAGCCAATCGAAAATGGGAAAAGAGAATTAACCGCAAGTAAATATAAAAAACACTAACTTTCTTGAAAAAATCTCAACTTGTGAATTTTAAAGAAAAAAATAGATGCCATTAAGCTTTTTGAATTTCTAAAACTATTTATGATTGGATCTTTTTTGACAACATTGATTCCCCTAACTTGAGAAAATTGATTGCCCCAACATGATTACCCAACTTGAGAACATTGGATCAACAGGTAAGGTTTCTTTCCGCTGTAAATCTAAAAATTAAATTCCACTTTGAACTTTAAATTTGTTCGTTTTTCTTGTGCCATTTCCACGTTCTTTTTCAAAAAGTGCATATATACCTGAATGCATTCATTAATGCATAAATATGTATGAATGCACATCTGTAGTTTTTGGATACTTTTCCTGAAAAAAAAATCAGCAAGACCTATATAAGTTGTCACTACGCTCATTACTCTTTAACAACGGAGTGCATGCAGTGGACAAGCGGAATTCGACAGTTGGATGGAAAATTGTTCAACAACTGAAAAATTGTCTGTTATTCAAATGCCAACAATACTGCTCGAATCAGGGTGAAGCCCTAAAAGTTCCAACTGCCTTTTCAGGTCTATGGAGCAGTAATAACATTATTAAATTGAAGGGAATAAACTAAAGTGAACTTTTCTAAATATGAGATTTTTTGTGAAAACATCCCCCACACGCCATATCAAGTACTAAGTGATAAAATTCACTCCTAAAAATAAATCAATTATGGTAAATAAGCTACCTTCAGAACCAATTTGGATCAATTTCTAAGACGGATTAAATCTCCGCTTACGCGTTACTAGCGGGAAACACATCGCTCGTTAATTGTCAACCTTTAAACCCCCATATACGAAAAACAATCACAGGTGCAATAACTTTTCAAATTTAACCTCAACACAATACCTTTTGAATGATAAAAAAATGTCAAAAAAGGCTAGTTAAAAAGTCGAAATGTCTGACCAAAAAAACACCTCGAGCAAAAATATTCCGTTACTTCAGTTACGAAAGTCGGAACAATAATTGTTGATAAAACCTAGAAATGACGCGTTCATCTCATTTCAACTAACAAATAATGTTCGTAAGATTAATTCGGTATTAGGAACAACGTTTAAATACATTTAAGCTAGATTTGTTTTACATTCAATTTATCTACACATCAACATTTATACGGACGGATTTCCATTAAAGAAACAAATATTACATAATTTATTATCTCTGGACCCAAAATTAGGCGATTACATTAGATTATTTAGATTTAAATTATAAGTGAGCATTCAAAACACAAATCATGCAAAACAGTTCAAAGAAATCAATTTCTACTCAAGTTTAGTCAATCATGCAACAGAATCAACTGTCATGATGTTTCTGGATACTAGCCTTGGTTACTGCACATGTGTACGGCAAAGTTCGGAGATTGGTTACATCAAAATTTAAGGAATGCACTCGCAGAGTTACGAAGATATGTTATCTTATTTGTAAACAACATTTCACAATAAATCAAAAATACGGCCATATTATCCATTCAAATTCCAAACAAAATATTTTAATTAATCGAAACAAACTTCCAGCTCGGAATTTTTTTTCACTCCAGATTGCTTCGTGACATCTCCTGTAAGTGATTTTCATTTAGCTTGGTTAATCAATGTTTTGGCCATTGATAAAACTTCACAAGCAGTCCACTCAAAACTTGGCCAACAAACCATTGGAACAGTGTCAATGACCTCAAGGAACGCGGACACAAATATGGCATTTTTCGGAAATTAAGAACTTTAAGTAAGAAATATATCACGTTTCAAGAATGTTTTATTATTTTTTTCATAAAATTAGAGCAATTAGAGAAAAGTTGATCAAGTTGAGTAATTTTTGCGCCTTCTCTCATGCGCCTTCCAATTAGCAAATGAATTGGAATTGAACTTACAAAAACGTCAAAAGTCAAAACACAAAAGTCAAATTTGATCGATCCTTTTTCTTAAAAAAGAAAACGACATTATCACCACACAGATAAGTGTCTCCACTACGTTCATTGACACTTGAAAAGTTTCATTTTTCAATAGCGTAAAGCTCATTTAGCAATAGCATTTGCATGTCAAATTCAGAAACTACACTTGTTCATGTTCTGCGAAAATTGAAATGTAAATTCCCGCAAATATCATCATAACTGCAAGTAAGAGCGGAATGCAGTAGGGTCGTTTATAGAACGGCACTTTGGAATAACTTTTGGCAGGGTGACCAGTTTTAGTGTTCGATGACTGTTTGGCATATTTTCCATTATTCTTGCTTCCATTTTGCTCTTCATTCCTATCTCCACGTTGTTTTTTACTTTGTTTCGCATCCTTTTTAGAGACGTCTGTTTGATCGGTTTTGGTACGCGCGGGTGATGATTGTTTGAATGAGAAAGGTTTAGCTAGTTTTGATTGTACTTCAGGGACTGCTATAGTTTGCACTTCACTAATTGATGATTCCTTCGACTCGGATCTCTTCTCTTTCTGAAGAATCAAACGTGCCACGATAAAGCTCTTCAAATTTCAGCAATATTTTATGATTGACGCTTTTTTATTGAACTATTCTGTTTAGCAAATGAGTTTTATTACAACTGCAAAAGAACACAAAGTCAAACCACAAAAATACTTGAGCGTGCACAAATTTGATTTATTCCGGAAAAAATTAAGACCCTATTAAGTGATAAATCACTGTAAAAAACAGCAATCGACAAACTGTGAAGAAAAAATAACCGAAAAGCGGAGCAAAAAGTAGTGAGAAAAAGGAAACAGAGCCAACTGCAAACCTGTTTTCGCTTCTTGTCCAATCTCTGCTCGCACACTCTATTACATGGGATCCTAGGCGTGATGGGAACATTCTTGCAGAGTGTTTCTTGTTTGATGCTGCCACAAGCACACTTCACCACTGCCCTCTTGGTGCACTGGTCAGCTGGGAGACACTTGGCAGGCGGGTGGCATGCACGGGGACATGCGTGGCCACAGTCCATCTGCAGGGGACAGGGGTGGTTGCCATTCAGAAGCGACACTCTATCCTCCTCATATGCGGATGTCCAAACACTGCGAAAAACATGGATTGGAAAAAAAAACGAATCCAGATTGTCTTTGTAAATTACAACTGATTTTCTATTTTGATTTGTTTTATTGAATTGTCTCATTTTCTTTTTTATTTTCTTCAATCGTCTGAGATTTTGTATAATTATGTGCGATTTTTTGCAAGTTTTTAGATCCAGGCGGCTCAAATCGGTCAGAGAAAAAAAGTGACCTACCATTTTCAGAGTCTCTCTCTTAAGAAAAATAAAAACAAGTGACTGTTCATAACATTTTATTTATCACACTTGCAGATATAGCATCGGCATGTTCAACAACAGCTGTTTTCTCTATTTCCAGTTTAGCTTTCTTTTTCTGGAGCTTTTCGACCAGCTTTTGAGCTTTTTCTAACTCCTTGTCGGTATCAGTGATTTTCTTCTTGAGCACACCAGGCGTGTGCCTTTTGAACACTCCCAGTTGTTCACGAGCACCGGCTGCGATCTCGTGTTAGATACAACTTGCCTCAGAGGCAAGTTTCATCTTCTTTACGTAGCTCTCTGCAGCTTTCGACATGAACGGAGACAACTCAGATAAAAACTCTATATCTTCGTTATCGGGGACGCAAGAAATTTCTGGTATCTTCGGAGAATTACTTTCAGCTACACTTCATTGTATTTACCATAGTCAGTTCGAATTTTGTCAATGTCGTCATCTGAAATAGTATGCAAATATTAAACTTGAGTCCGGAAGCATTTTTGAATACATATCTCTCCGACGACTGAAACAGTCGCTCGTCCGGAATTGAGAACCATCTTAAACTAGCTTCAGCACGTGTAGAGCTACAGCCTTACTTGCAATGGCGTCCTTGTCAACCTGGGCGTTTACCAGCTGCTTTATTATCGGATGATCTTTTTTAGCTTGTTCATTTTTGACGTGGTCTTTTTGCATGATCGATTACTAAAGCTTGCCTTCCTTTTGCTACCGACAACTCGCAAAAACAGAAGCGGCATCGGCACTGAGACAAATAGTTCTTAACGGGAAGCGCCCAAGTGAACTCTTGTTGAAGTTTCGATTGAACGTGCAACGTCCCATGATCTTATCTGGAAGAATTCTCGATAATTGCTAGGATTCCCTTGATACGCACAACAGTTTCAACAAAAAGTGACCAGTTTGAGTAGCCTGTTTAGATCTCTCGGGATTCAATTAACAAACTCACTAATTGCTTCCCAAGATAAATCAATTATGCGATTTCTTCACTGACAAGGTTAACACAGATTCGAATCTGTACTTTGTAATCAAAAGCGATAAACCAGCAAAAATTAGCTCTAAAAAGGGTTTTTAAAATGAAATATACGTAGGGAAGTAGAAAAAAATAATAACAATTCCAACTTGTCCCATTATCAAACCCCAGATCTTGAAATTAAGAGTCTCACGTCATGTGCCATAGTCGCTGGACAATCTTGAAACACTAGCTACGCCACCAATAAAGCAGACAACAGATGCTAGTAAATCACCAATGCTCTGCCAGCAAAGTGCCACCAAGTGAACACTCTTATTTGCTAGTTAAGTTGGAAAAAAAAACTTCGTAATTTTGACTTACTCTAGCTAGCTCGCATGTGTAAATACCGGAATAGCTAAAAAAAAGATTTAATGGAAAAGACAGTTGTAAAAGAGTCAATGAACGCAAATAACATAACAAAAAACATATCGAACAGACTTTAGAAAAAATAGATGGCCTTTAAGCTCTTTGAATTTCTGGAACAATTATTGGTTGACACTTTTTTGATAAAATTAACCCAATTGAGAAAACTGGATCAATAAGCAAAATTTTGTTTCGCTGGGAAATCCGAAAATTAAATTCCACTTTCGAAACTAGCAGCCGAGCACGTTTTTCGTGACGTTTAAACTTTAACTCGAGTTCCTCTTCCTTCGATAGTGGAGATCATCTTCCTATTAGCAAAAGAAATCAAAAGTCGAACGGCGAAAAAATAAATTTGAGCCTGATAAAATTTTCTTAATAAAAGAAAAAAATCATCGCGACCTATATAAGAGGCTGAACTAAGTTAATCGACTTTTGATTATAGTTTTTAGTTCCGAATAACTTAAACAAGAAGGATGCAGTTCTATAAAATTTAGGTTTCCCATTTTGATAACGTGTTCGAGCTTCACAAATTGCAGTTATTAGCTACCAGGAAGGATAGCAAAAAAACTGTGGATTCGAAGATGGCGGCTACCAAAGCATTACCTCTAGAACTTGAGTACTCACTTGCAAGCTATCATGAGGGTGAGGTGAGAGCAGAGACACCTCTTGGCCACTTTGATGTTGCAGGGGGGACAGGGTGCTCTATGACAGGGCATCGGACACTGGTGGGTGCATCCCTCTGGTCTGTCCAGCTCACAACCCCTCTCGCACACGTCACAGTCAGCCCCCGCCTAAAGTCAATCAAAGCATCAATGAGATTAAGATTAAACTCATCATCTGCGCTGGATTGAGAAACAATTAAAAACTATTTCCCTCGAAGAAGCGGATCCTTGAACTGCCCAAAAAAGTTCAGCATTGTATTTTCTATCAAAAATTAAGTCAACTAAAATACCATTGTCATTTTCTCTAAAGAGATCAAATTTAGTACTAAGGTTATTCTGAACGACTGCTCTGCCCTTCACCGAAATGACAACAATTAATAACTAAGGTAATCACCAAACTGAAGCTACGGTAATATTAAAAACCACCAGCATTAAAATACTAATCAGTTGCTGACACCCGTCAGAAAAAGAATTAATCAAGAAAACGGTTTCCAGTTAGTAGATTCCAGACAAAGAATGACTGCAGCAAGAAGAGCTGCAAATGCGCACTTACCATTTTGATACTTTTGGCCTAAAAGAAACACGACAAGTTCAAATGTATACTTCTATATGTTCATTGAAATTGACTCAAAAAAATTCAACTCAAAAAATAAACTACATAAAAATCATCTTTGGGCTAAGATTCGCTCACAAAACCGTTCCGACGAAGTATTGCATAACTTTTCTTCAGATTGATTGTATGGGTAAATACTTTTATTTTAAGATGCTACTTCCGGTGTATTGTTTGAACATTGAATGCCAACGCAACTAACCGTGGACTCATCTGGCGCCGTCTGGACGACGTGGCAGATTCGTTCACACTGGTGATTGCCACAGGACAGCATCCTCCCACAGGAAGATCCACAAGAGTAAGTCTTCGCTTTGGCACATTGGATGTTGATGCTCTCGTGCTGTCCGAAACAGGATATCTCTATCTGGCCTCTGCAGGGGGGACATGGCTGCTCCACTTGTTTGAAGTGCACACTCTCGTTCATCAGAAGATTCTAAACAGTTCAAAGTTTCTCGAAATTTCAGTAGCTTTCAAATATCCCTTTAGATTTCACTGTTTTGAATGATTTTAATTATCCAAAACATTACTAGTACAGATGAAATTTACCCGTGACGAGTATCTTCTGATATTGACAATAAAAACAAGGAAAGCCGGTTGCTTTCCACATTCATAAGAAAAGGTTTATTCACCAAACTAGTATCGTTTTTGTGCGTAGTAGGATTAGAGAACTATACAAACGCGGGAAACATTAGTGAAATAGGCATAATCGACAACAGATGTCTTCGGAAACTGAATAACAACCTAACATTTTTTACCAAAAAAATTTGACATTTCCCAGAATCATAGCTTTTTGAGTTAGAAAATTTGGATAAGAGATTTACGCAATCTGCAATTTCGATTGAACCCAAAAGCTCGGGACTTGGGAGGGTAGTTTTCGAGAGAAGTAAAAAAATTCGAAAAAACGGCCAAAAAAAATTGAATTTTCCGAAGGCCATAACTTTCTGTGTCAAAAAAACGTAGGCTTAGTCGCGTAGGCAAAGGAGCTTCGAGCAACTCGTTATGTGGAGTGAACTCAAAATCTCAGATAAGTGAGGAAACTTTTCAAAATTTTAAAAAGCGGTAAAAAAAGACTTTTCCGAAGGCGCTAACTTTTGGTGTATAAAATTTTGTGAACAGTGGCTAATGTGTGTGATCTTTCCACTACCCGGTATCTCCATTCAACCCTCAATCTCAGATTTGCGAGGTTAGTTATCGAAAAAAAAACATTGCCAAAAAAAAACAGTTGGAAAAGAGAAATAAACGCAAGGAAAGTGAAAAAAAATGACATGTTTTTTTCAAGCGGCTTCAACTTTTGAATTTCGAAAAAAACATAACCAATCGAAGATTGGGAAAGAGTAATGAACGCAAGTAAACATAAAAAAAAAACTGAATTTCTTGAAAAAATCTCAACTTTCGAATTGCAAGGAAAAAAATAAATGCCCTTTAAGCTCTTTGAATAACATGAACCCAACTTGAAAAAACTGGATCAATATGTAACACTTTTATTTTGCTGGGAAATCTAATAATTAATTTCCATTTTCGAAATCAGAAGTCGATCACGTTTTTCGTGACCTTTACTTTTTTCTGTTCGATTTGCCTTACTTTTAACAATGGAAATTCATTGAACTAAAAAAGAAATCACAATTAAAACCGCGAAAAATCAAAACTGAGCGTGAACAAATTTCAAGACTTTTTCCTGAAAAACCCAAAATAATCAGCAAGACCTAATACTCACTAAGTTCATTACTCTTAATCAAAGATTCAAAAAACGGTTGACAAATCAAAAATTTTACAATTCAAAAGGCCATAAAATTAGGCATCAAAAAATTTTGGGCGTAATCGATTATGCGCGAGATCTTTTCAAATTCGTTCTAATCATTCCAGCCAAAATCTCACATTTGAGTTGTTTTTGAGAAAACTAAAAAAATCAAAAAATATGGGTCAAATGTCCCCCCCCCCACAGACTTTTTCCAAGGCTGTTGACAGAGAGGTAGAGTTAAAGAAATTAAGGGAGCATGCACGCAGACAGGGGAGCAGGCGGTCTTTCCATTGAGTACCCTTTTTTGAAAATTGATAAAAAAAAGTTTTTGAGACAAACTGAAACTTTTGCGAAAAAAGTGAAAAAAAAACTTTCGAAAGCTTCTTAAAAAATGAAACAAAAAGACCAATCCCCTACATTTTTGAAATATCGACAAATAATGAGGCAAATAAACAGATACATTACCAGCCGAAACCATTTAAGCTGAAGAAGTGAAAAAAAAACGAAAAGAATCAGCGAAAAAAAAATAAGTTGTTTTGAAAGCAAAAACAAAAATTCGAATGAAACGGCCATATAAAAAACAGATATGCTCAAAAAATCTGTGCATCCGGTCATTCAATCAGAACAGACATGTCAACTGATTTTGTTAAACTAGATGCTAGCCCGAAAAAAGTCTATATTCCGAATTGATAACGCTTGCAAATCGCAAGCGTATTATTATCCGGAAGGCCTAATATGTCGATCATCAACTAGCCTTGGGTCTGAACTTGGTCCATACAGCCGAGTGGCAAGTGGCCATACATGGGTGTCCACACTTGTCTACCAGTCTCTTCTCACACACCTGGTCACAAGGGGGACAGTGGCCACTGTGGCACTTGTGGGGCTTCAGACTACTGTGGTGACACGCTGGGGGCTTCCTATACAGATAGAACAAACATCGGTACTAACCCGATCAACACGCGCGTGATGAATAATTTATTAAACTTTATATAGGTAAAACTCATGTAATACTAATTTTCACCGACACAAACTTCTGAATATGAACTAACACCTGTTCCCAAGTGCTTTTTTCTGATGAGGAATGGCAAGATGACGGAGAAGGGGTTGTATTCCACCAAGACCTTTAAATTAAAGTACACTGGAATATTAAATTATAGAATATACTGGACTCACATGCAGTTCTTCTGACAATTGGGCTTCTTAACAATCTTCTCCCTCCCACACGGGATCTGAATTGAAGTGGCCCCACATGGGCAAGAGAGACACTTGGTCTGCTGGCAGGGATAACATGGACCAGAGTGACATATTTGCTGACACCTGTGGTTGCCACAAGTCAGTGTCTTTCCACACATTTGCTCACAAGGGGCACAGTTTCCAGTACAACATTTCTTCTTGCACTGAAACACATGCGACATTTCATCGACCAGAGAACAAGCTGAATGATTTTTAAATTTAGCTTCCACTTGGCAATCAGCAAACCGAGGTATTCAAGCTCAAATATGATTTAAAAAAACTCTGGAAAAACTCCCGATGGATTTCGGAAGAGACCTATGTCGTATTTTTCAGTGCGCCCCAGTTGCTTTTTCAGTTTCATTCGGGTGTATTATAATACGCAATACGCCATAAAGTAAGGGAAATACACAATTAGGTGATACTAAAAGAAATGTTTAATATATGAGACGGCACTGCTCTAACCGGATGACGTCCGCAGTTCCGCAACTTGCCGCACTTGGTATCACAAGTGAAGTTATCCAAACACTGGACCTGCCTCGATTTCTTCCCACAGGGGCACCTTTTATTCATTCTCTGCCTACAAGTCCCACAGTCCCCTGGATGACATAAATCCTCACAGGTATGTAACCCACATGCCAGTTCTTTGCGACATCTCCGCTCACAAACTGGTGCTATGTCTGTACAGTTCAAACTAGGATGCTGTGTCGCACCACAAGGACATGTCCTCTTTCCGCTATTCGGACACTCGCCACAAAACCCATCGCCAGACGGATGACATATTTTATTGCACTGGTGCTTGCCACAGGGAAACATTTTCCCACAAACTGTATCACACTCCCAGCCAATGTTAGAGCACATTGTTAGCTTTTCTTTTGTGCCGCAGTTACAAGTTTGAATCATAGTTTCTTTACATGGAGCACATTTCCCCGGATGACATCTTTCAGCACAAAAATGCGTATCACAGCTCAGACCCTTCCCGCATATATTTGAACAAGTCCAGATCTGAGCACTACACCGTCTTGGTTCCATTGGCGAGGCTCCACATTGACACTTCACATGAACCGTTTGAGCGCAAGGCGGGCAACCTCCTGGATGACATAAAAGAGTACAGCGATGACCGCATGCAATACTCGGAATGGAATCCCCCATAGGCTGTGACACTAGCTCTTTGTCGCATGACTGTCCGCATGAATGAGGGACAAGCCATGGGTCGAATTGAGGGTCACGAGTCTTCCCACAGAAGCAGTAGTAGTGCTCCGGAATAGCCGAGAGCGGATATTCAAGTCTGCATTTTGGGCTAAAACCATAAAACCAATTTTAACAGATTAAATAAAAGTAAGTTTCAAAAGAAATTAACAAAAAAATAGATATTCCTTTTTGTAATTTTTCTGTGAAATGGAATCCAATTTTGCACGAATTAGAAAAATTTCTTTGCTTTCATTTTTGCTTTCGAGGATTCGTGGAAAACATACAAATTGAAAACATATAAAGCCCAAAAAACCGGACATATTCAACTCCGTTTCAGCCTTACCAGTCCCAGTTGATGTTTGCAGCATCCCCACTTCCCGCGTGACTCTCTAGTCTGAACTTAGTCTGCTCTATACTATCTCTGGCCCATTTCTGGATACACTGCAGATGGTACATACACACACATCGCATGCAACTCCACACTGGCTGGGATCTCTTCACGGAGGAGATGCAAATCAGACAGGACACTGCTCCACTTTGACACACCTCTAAGAGGAGTTTGGATATTTTGCCAGCATCCTCGGCTGTACCTAAATTAAATCATCATGTTTGTATTCATGAGTTAAATTCTGTTGTTAATGGATTTTACAAATTGTTTTCAGATTTCGAAGAAATACTAAGTCCAGCCGTTTTACAGTTTTTTATGGAGGTGAGTAACTTTTTGATATTTTTGAGCTACAATTGAAACCTATTGTCACAGCAATGTTTTTGCCGTTAAGGCTATTTAAAAAATCCAAACTCACCTTCTGTTTCATATTTCTCAAACGTGGCCCTTACAATGCTCTGATACTGAGATCCATTCTCCGAATCATCATCTTCCTCATCCGAAGACTGCTCCTCCATCTCCTCATAGGTCAACTCACTCATAATTCTGGCCGCAGAGGAGCCCGAAATTGCCGAATCCGAAGGCGAAGGTTGATATACTTCCATTGATGCCGTATTTTCATAATCCACCTCAGTTGTCGCTTCTTCAGTTTCATCATATGCAAACTCTTCATCCTGCTCGCCTGATTCCGAGTAGGGTGCACCTTGAGCACGATTCGAGTACTCCACATAAGCTCTCGGGTAAAACTGCATTTGAGAGGAATTCGGCTGGCCGTTGGAGTGACTTGATGCAAATAAATAGTCTCCATGAGTTGAGACCGCTTGAATTGGCATTACTGTTCCGTAAACCCGGAAATCACCTGGAGTAAAATGAATTGATATGTTGTCGCACATTCGATGCTCGCACATATTGTCGGACATATCACGAAACTTTCAAAAAGAAAACTTTAATTTAACCAGCAAACATTCAACTTTCAAACTTAAAAATTATTTTAAATCTGAAATTATTGGAAATCCATCGTTGGCACCCCATGAAAAAGTATCTTGAAAGCAACTTAAGTTCATTTTAAATATTTAAATTTAAATTAAAGTATATGAAGGATCTATAAAGAGGACAGCCCCATTTAGGAGGGCAACAGATCTTATTAGCTGTACTTTCAATAAAGAGTTAGCAGTAACTGTCAGTTTAATTTCGTTGAAATTGTCACTATGAAAGTTGCTATGGTTAAATAGTTATTCAATAGTCCATTTTCACTTTTGGTAAAATATTTGCAAGTTACAACTATTTCTTTAATATTGAAGTAAGCCACTTCAGCCGGGTCGACCCAAATTTTGGTAGCTACTTTTATAAACTGAAACTTACAAATTTTAGCTATTTTATTAAGAACGCGAAAGCCTTACTGCAAAGCTACCTCGCAAGTTTCAAAAAGAAAATTTTAATTTAACCAGCAAACATTTAACATTTAAAAACAATCAAACTTAAATATGAAAACTTTTGCAAAACCTATTATTACTGAATATCCATCATTGGCAACCCATGGAAAAGTATCTTGAAAGCAACTTAAATTCATTTTGAAAATTTACATGAAAATCTATGATTACTCGCAACACTTAGGATGCGATACAAAAAAAAACCACTCCAGATGTTGAAAATTACAGATGTTGAAAGAAAAACAAACTAGGAAAGTCATGTTTTTGACTATTAAGATTTGAAAGTTATTTCTTCAAAAATTTCATATCTTTGGCTTGGATGATGTTCATAATCGGCCTTGAAAAACATTGAAAACCAATACACAAGCGTCAGCTAAGACAAAAACTTGAGTCGACTCTCAATAGGTTGGAAATGAAACTGCAGATATAACAAATTTCAATCTATAAAACTTATGAAATCAATAACTCAAGGCCCATTCTTCCTGAAAAAGGCAAAAACATTCAAAAAATCGCCCTTGAAACTACGCAAAAAAATTGACTAAGCCAATAAAACGTACGCTAAACCCATTTAAAATCAGAGTTGGTAAATAACAATTACAGAACAACTTCCAGCTATAGTTTTAACAAGGGGCCCAGCTAAAGCTAGAGATATCTATTTGATATTTTTAGTATATGTTTTACTGACTAGGGATGAAATTCATTATCTTTCAGAAATTTCAAAAACCCAAATTATTAGTTTTTCTAGTGATTAGCGGCGTGCGTGATTATACTTGATACCTGTAGGGGAGATACGTTCTCACAAACGAATTTAAAATCAAATTGGACAGAGTGGTGAAAATTCCCGCACCACGTTTTACTGACCAAACACGTGACTGAGAAGTCACTTATACCGGGAAGATTCCGATAACATGATTCTTCGATATAGCTCTAAAACTCAGATTTGGTAGGGTAGTTTTTAAAAATCAAAACGAATGAAAAAACCAGTAACAAAAAATCAGATTCGATTTTTTCTAAAAATTACTAGCTTATGCAGCGTAAGCAGCAAAAAAATCCACATTGGTCGGCTGAACCTTTAATCTGAGATTTGGTAGGGTAGTTTTCGAGCAAACTTTTTTAAGAACGGTCAAAAGATCAAAAATTCAATTTTCCGTAGGTCCTAATTTTTTTTGAAATATCAACGAGATGTATCAACATTGAAAACCAATACACAAGCGTCAGCTAAGACAAAAACTTGAGTCGACTCTCAATAGGTTGGAAATGAAACTGCAGATATAACAAATTTCAATCTATAAAACTTATGAAATCAATAACTCAAGGCCCATTCTTCCTGAAAAAGGCAAAAACATTCAAAAAATCGCCCTTGAAACTACGCAAAAAAATTGACTAAGCCAATAAAACGTACGCTAAACCCATTTAAAATCAGAGTTGGTAAATAACAATTACAGAACAACTTCCAGCTATAGTTTTAACAAGGGGCCCAGCTAAAGCTAGAGATATCTATTTGATATTTTTAGTATATGTTTTACTGACTAGGGATGAAATTCATTATCTTTCAGAAATTTCAAAAACCCAAATTATTAGTTTTTCTAGTGATTAGCGGCGTGCGTGATTATACTTGATACCTGTAGGGGAGATACGTTCTCACAAACGAATTTAAAATCAAATTGGACAGAGTGGTGAAAATTCCCGCACCACGTTTTACTGACCAAACACGTGACTGAGAAGTCACTTATACCGGGAAGATTCCGATAACATGATTCTTCGATATAACTCTAAAACTCAGATTTGGTAGGGTAGTTTTTAAAAATCAAAACGAATGAAAAAACCAGTAACAAAAAATCAGATTCGATTTTTTCTAAAAATTACTAGCTTATGCAGCGTAAGCAGCAAAAAAATCCACATTGGTCGGCTGAACCTTTAATCTGAGATTTGGTAGGGTAGTTTTCGAGCAAATTTTTTTAAGAACGGTCAAAAGATCAAAAATTCAATTTTCCGTAGGTCCTAATTTTTTTTGAAATATCAACGAGATGTATCCCTATAAGCACGGAGCTTCCCAGATCGCCGTTTTTGATTGAACTCAAAATCTGAAATTTAGGGGTGTAATTTTCGATAAACGATTTAAAAAGGTCAAAAATTTAACTTTGTTGGGTGCCATAACTTTGGATGTATAAAAATTGGACGTAGCCACATATGCAGGGGAGTTTTGCAGAAACAATTCTTTCGATGGAACCTTGAAGCGCTGATATAAGAGTAATTTCGGTCAGAAAATTGAAAAATTCTGAGTGCCATATCTTGTAGAGTAAAAAATGGGCGTAGTCCCTTATGCAAGGGAACTTCCCATATTCTGTGAGTTTCATTGAATCCAAAATTTTGAAGTTGGGTGGGTCGTTTTTGGGAAAATGAAAACCTCCACTAAATTGGGTCAAAAATTTCTCCAGCACAATTAGCTTAATTGTTGTGATAAACTTATTTAATAGTGAGTTGGTTCAAATTTACATCTTGTGTATTTTCATATTAAATGCGCTGGGCTTTCCTCACTGACTTATTTTACCAAGCGTAGGCGAGTGAAGCTTCTTTGGCGTAATTAGACGCAAGAAAGAGTGAGCTAGTGGAATGAACTCCAAAACGACGTCAGGTTGTATCACTCCTTACTCTTTTTTTCCATCGCCCTGGTCTAAAACCAATTTTAAATCCTAATTGAAAGTATTCATAAATCAACCCAAGACTCACAGTGCCTCAAAGAGCTTCCTTTCTCGCCCCAATTGTCCATGTTCAAGGTAGATACCACGATTCCAGGCAGGACGCATCCCTGAGTTTTCACAGAACCTAGTTAGCGAGACTTCAAGGACGAAATATATCAAACCAGTTCTAGTAAAATCAACAATTCACTCCTACTGCGGCGCAACGCTTCGTGATCTGTTTGAAACAGTTTTACAATACAGACCAAAGCGCCTAAATACAGTAACAATAGTTGCTGGATACAATGATAACAGGCTGCATCCTTAAGAATTAGAACAGCGCAGTGGAAAAACTTGATTAACCTCGTTAGTTCAAGTTTACTCCCAAAACAATTCAGTACTGTAAAAACTCTGAAGAAAATCGCAAAATTTATATTCATAATCATGTGTTGTTTTTGTTATTGAATAGATTTGTACACCACATAAACCTAATGTCTCACCTAAATCTAACTCCTCAAATGTTCTGCCGTGATGGCATTCATTTCTCGTTCCACGGTAATGATTTCTTTACAAATTTTCTTGCAAATTTAATCCATAAATTCTCTCACTAACTTGATACCACCGTCCTTCCTCAAATGGCTACTAAAACACATTGCCTTTTTGTAAAAACAGCTTGCGAGGCGGAGGTGTTTGGTGCTTCACATGCCCAGGCTACATGCATGTAAAATGACGCGGCCTAGCCCGCAGCAGTGATCACTGACGCTTTCAGCTGTCATCCCTGCACCTCAGCTAACGACATATCTCACTCAGCTAACGACATACATTAAAATAATCCCTCAACCCTAGCTACAACCAAGCTCTCTCAAGTCCACCCTCACCCTTCCACTACCCCACGCTCACAAAACTCAAGTAACAACACAAGACCACACAAGACCCATGGTCAAACCCCTGTCCACAACTCTATATATACCAAAGTGGTCCACTGGAAACCAGTCTTTATTATTTAATCAAAAAAAGAAATGGTTATAACTTCATTGAAACCCTCAATAGAACTTTGAACAGCCTAATAGAAAACAACGAAAATACCTTCTTTCCACACTTACTACTGTGCAACACACGGTCCGAAAACGACAATCTTTATCTAAAACAATAGCAAGGCGACTTGAGCAATGGCAAGACGGAGACCTGGATGACCTATATAACCATAAGAAAGGGCTGTAAATGCGCTTGACAAAAAAAGACGAAAAACTGAAGCTAAAGCACAACAGTTCAACAAATTATTGAAATATTGGAAAAATCTCAAGCGCAATAACAAAACAAACGGACATATCCAAATGCGTTCTTTCGCCCGACGAGATGTCAAAGGTAAGACAGTAGAACAGACTCTTATTAAGAAGCACCCACCATCTGAACCAACTGATGAGAAATATATTACACCAAACTCAAATGAAACAATTCCTTTTCATCCATCGATATTTGATCAGATAAACGGTCAACAGAAGAAGAAATCAGCCATGAGAACGCACGGATCTCATGGACTATCTGGCCTTAATGCAAATGAATGGAGACGTATTTTAACACAGTTCGGACAAAAATCAGTTGAGATTTCAAAAGAAATAGCTGAAATTGCCAAAATTGTCGACCAAAGAACTAAATCCAGAACTAACGGAACCATATAACGCATGTAGATTAACACCCTTAGATAAAATCCAAGGAGTAAGACCCATAGGCATAGGAGAAGTTATGCGTCAGATAATCAGATGAACAATAACCAAAAGACTAAAAAAGCCTTAACTGATGTCGCTCGGTTCAAACTACCAACTCTGACTAGGACAAAATGTGGCATTGAATATGCGATCCACACGCTGAGAAATCAATACAGCAAAACCTCCGCCGACAATACAGCAAAACCTCCGCCGATGTTGTTTTAGTGATAGATGCCGAAAATGCTTTCAACTCGCTAAAGTGAAAGCTGGCATTGAAAAACATCGAAAAGACATACCCATCTTTTTTTACAGCGATTATGAACTCGTACTCAAATCTATCTCAACTGTTCGTCAATAAAAAAAACATGTAGTCTCAAGAAGGCACAACCCAGGGGGATGCGCTAGCAATGGTCATGGTCTAGCCATAATACCCTACAAAACTTTTATCAGCAGACAACGTAACCCAGAAATGGTACGCAGACGACGGAAACGCAGTCGGTAAATTAAGCAATCTAAGAACCGTCCTCAATAAAAATGTATCACTAGGTACCATTGTATCACTAGGTACTTTTTTTGGCTACCATGTTAAAGCATCCAAATGCCAACTCATAGTCAAACATGAAAAACTCGGTGAAGTTGAGAAAAGCTTCGAAAATACAGGAATCACTATAAAGGCAGGCGCCCGAGTGCTTGGTTCTGTTATATAAACAAAATCTGAATGTAAAAAATAGCTTGAGCTTCAATAGAATGAGCAAATCAAAATTTTGAAAAAAGTAACGAAAATCACTGCACCTCCCCCCCCCCCCCCCCCCCCCCCAAAAAACGTTTATGCCTGCTATACTAAAGGAGTTCAAGAAAAGTTTTCATTTCTAACCAGGACAATGCCTAAAACTATGGAAAACTTAGTAACATCTGAGGTCTAAGGAAACATCACTAGTACTGGAATCTCTATATCCTAAAACAGCAACAACACAGCAAGAAAAAATTTGTTTGAAAATCAAAAAATTGAAAAACTGATAGAACGAACCTTAAGAAAACAAGCGTCACTAAATGCTTTATCACTTAGCAGATACAACTTCAACCTGAAAAAATCAGAATACAGAGATGGAAATTACTTAGGAGAAGAAGAAAACCGACCAAAACCCCACTAATATGTGCATGTGGTGCAAATTTTACCTTGACACATGCCCTACACTGTGCAAAGGGCGGTTACCCACACATAAACACAATCAAATTAGAGACACATTCGCCCACCTCATGAACGAGGTTTGCCAAGAGGTCGAGATTGAGCCGAACTTCAGCTGTTTCAAGGAGAAAGCTTTGTCAACAATTTAACTTCAGCAATTTAACTACAATTTAAATTGTCAACAATTTAAATTGTAATTAATTTTTGTCAACAATTTAACTACAGCTGAATATGGGGCTCGACTTGACATTAAAGCAAACGGAATCTGGGGTTCACTATTTAGCCGCGCTGTCTTTGATGTTAAAATTTTCAACCCCCATGCCAAAACATCGCGAAAACTGCATAAGGACGCATACAAATATCACGAAACGCTGAAGAACTCCAAATATCGGCAAAGAATTTTAAACGTAGAGCAGAGTAGCTTCTTTCCGCTGAATTTCGGATGGATTTGTGGCGCTGCTCCAATAGCCACGCAGACGTTGCAGCGATTAACCGAAAAACTATGTGAAAAAAAAGACAAGGAACTTTTATACTTTAACTTGGAAACTCTTTTCTTAATAAACAGCAACCATCGAAAATTGATTTCGAGTTTTTAAAATCATTGCGAGATGCTTGTATTGTAATTCAACATAACAATTTCCGGCCGCAAAAACTATGGTTTCTTTCGTACATAAGCTAATGTCATCGGGGTAATCGGAAAACATGCAGCTTTTAACGCACCTTGATCAAATGAAATAATAATTTCACTTCTCACCTGGGTACATAGTGGGCGGAGGAAAGTGTTGATGATTGTTCCAGGCTCCCCAAGCATTTCCTGCTAAACTCCACTGTTGATCTAGTGCATATTGATTCACATTTCCTTGGTTACGTCCTGCAGGGTGGTATCTTTCAAACCTTGTTGGAGCTGCACCTCCACCGTGAGGATTTCTTTGGTTATTGCAGGCTGCTCCTCTCGCTTTTTGCCGAGATCCAGTGCCTCGAGCGCTGTTTTGTTTTGAGTTCCCATTGCGGGAACTCATTTGATCTTATCTACAAACCAATCAAATCGGCGAAAAAAGTTATGGATGAAAATCAGAAAAAGAACTTTTCAATTACTGTATAAACTTCTATTCTTTTAATACACGAAAACTATTCAATTAACGAAAATATAATACAAAAACGTTTCAATTTGGAAAAGTACATTGATTATCTTTATTCATCACTTATACAGATTTAATTAGAAGGTCAAAAGTATTATTTATACCGGTTAATTTGGCCCCAAAATTAAGAGACGATTTAAACTTGGTTATTAGCAAAAATATGAGTCAGCGTGGGTTGAATGGAAAACTAATTTTAATGGAGCCAGTATGAAAAAAAAATGTTAATAAATTTATGTTATAACTCAAGCAGAACGAATTTTATTGAGTTTCTTGAACAACTTACTTTGAACATTGATAGTGCACTTTCTATCTCTAGTCAAATATTTTCAATGGCTGTCCAAATGATGCAACACGAGGCAGTGCGTCGTCAAAAACCCATATAGATTATCTAATTGGTGATTTTGAAACAAACGGAAATGAACTTTGCTTTGATACGCCCTACCCTACGAAACAGATCATGTAAGGCGCACAAAACATGTTTTCAATTTAGTGTCTTTATCTCTTCAGCGGCATGCCCCAATCAAAAAGAAATTCTTGAATTTGGAGCAAAAAAATGTGCTGAAAACGGATTCCTTTGATTCAGAAGGCAAAAAAAACTGAAAAAGAAACAAAAATCACCTCTAGCTTGCCAAAATGAAAATTCAACTGAAAATTGGCAAAAATATCTCCATTGTGGTGACCAATTAGCTTAAGTGGTTAAACAGAAACAAAAAAAAGAACAATCCAGCGAAAATGGAGATTTATAAATCAAATTCGAGGATCCGCTTCTATCAATTCCAGAATTACAGCTCTGCGCAATTCATCCAATAAAATGATCACACAGAACTTTAGAGTAGCCAATCATTTCAACTAAATTTTTTCAAATTTAGTGGAAAAATTCGGCTCTGCTAAATCTCAGTTTGTTAGTCCAGGATCTTCTGAATTAACAATCTTTAATTTTCAGTACATAACAGTGACGCAATGTTATGATATACTCCTAGATCTAAACAACCGAAAACCTGCAGGACCTTCAGTTGTTCCTGCTTTGACAAAAATTGATGGTCAATCAAAAGTTGTGCTTATATCAACGCTTGTTTTTAAGGCCCTGCATAGATGAGGATGTTTTTCCGCTGAACTGATAAGGCAAATGTAACACTCTAATTCAAAAAAAATGACCCGATGGATCCTCAACACCATCGACCAATTTCATTAACTGGTGCATATTCAAAAATTTTGAGATAATTCATTTCCAATTAACAGAATACTTGGAAAACCATCAAATTACGACTCCTTTTCAAATTTGTTAACAATTTCTTCTCAACTACTTGAAGCACATCTTGTGTTAATTTTTTTGATGAGATCAAGCACAAGGAACAGTGCCGAGTTGGTTGTTGTTCATTTTATAAGTAAATGATTATCAAAATGGCATCAGCGATGGATGTACTTTGGTAAAGTATGATGAGGATAATCCATAAATGCAATTGGACAACATCATGCTTCACTGTTTAGTTTTATCCCATTTAGATTATGCAGCAATTTTTTTCCACAAATCAAATTGACTTTAAAGATCCCTTTAGAAATTTAGTTTAACTGGGCCCTAAAACGCACGTTTTTCAGATCAAAACTGACATTGTCGGCCGTACTGCGTAAAACTAAATCTTTAATCGGAAACGAAAATCGAATTTAATTGAAATATGTAATATATCTTTACAATATCTTACCGACAGCCAATTACAGATTTAAAAATTGCACTAAACAAGTAATTTTTGAATAACCACTGTTTAAGTGCTTCTCTGCAAAAATCATTTTTTTTCTCCTCGCTTAACAAAAGTTGATCTCATAGCCTGAAAAATTTTTAAAAATTTTTGACACTACTACTTCAACGATTAAGAAAGAGTTCTCGTTTTTGTAAACTGTGTAACATTCGCCTAAATACTACACAGCGACGGAGCGTAGGAAAAGTACCTATTAACGACTGGCAGGCGTCAGTTACCTTAATCCTACTCGTTTTTCACCGTCTCGACCTTGCCAGTTGATTTTCTGGTCTGTTTAGGGCAAAGTAAAAAGTTACCATTTTTAGGCCATCAGTCAAACGACTTTTGATCAGCTTTCGTTTACATGCGAACACAACCACATAGCTGAGTCTCGGATCCTCAGACTACGTGATTGTCATTAAAAACACGGCTCAAACAACCTATTTTAACATGTTTTTGTGTGACAGTTCTATATTAAATCCATTGGAGATGGATTGACCCTTTCCTCTTTCTAGCTACTCATACTCTGAAATATTAAACAATAACGGTGTTAATTAAGATCTATGACATTCCAGCAGCTATAAAGTTGGTTTACACAGTCCCTTCACATAGAACAGTCTCTGGGGGACCAAGCCTCCGCTCCCGTAATATTCCTGAAATAACGCTCTTATCTCTTATAATTCGTGTCCCGGGAAGGTTCCGTGGTGTATTTCTTCCCCCACTGAAGCCTCCTTCTCCACCAATATCTGTTAACAAGTGTCTTATCGTGCGTTGTTGCCACGATAAGAGGCTTCGTATTTTCCGTCTCTGGTACGACTGTTTTTCACTATTTCTGTTGTTGTTTTTTTTTCGTCATTTTTTCAGTCAAAATGGCCGTTTTTCGTATTTTCTCAGAAATATTCTTCTTCCAATCGAAATTTTAAAAATAAAAATTCCAGAATATTCCGACCCTCCTTCGCAATACTTTTTCATCAATTAGGCCTTTAGTCGTTCTTTTTTACGTCGCCGGAAGGTTGTGCTGTGTCATCTGGCAGAATGGCACATACTCCCCGGACAAGTCTCCATCAATGTCCCTATTGATCGCATAACACCGGGTTATCGTCAAGTAGTTATCCAGTTTTCTGTAATCAATCTTACAAATCGCATAAGAAAATGAAATCTATCTACCCCACTTCAACTCACTACGTGTTCACAAATGGCATCGTACTACATCTCACTGCCTTTCAACATTTTCACAAAATTTGCACCATGAGGAGTGTCCTAGATAAAATTTCTTTTCTGACTACTTACGTCGTCTTGCCATAAAACTTCTTTTCGCTCTTTGTGATTAAAAAGTGGGACGTGGCACGGCCACGCACCCGTTAAAATTAACTTAACATTACTCACTAAGTATAATTAGTCATTTATGCGGTCCTTTCAATATTAAAACTAAGAAACTCTGTGGCTAGGAAAGTTACTGAGTTACCCACCCTTCCAGAGCGAGTTTACTCAAACTTACCATGTCGCCACACAGTGAATTTGTGTCTTACACAGGTTAAAAACTTCAGTCGTGAATAAATAGGTAAATATACTCACCTAGGTTCCTCATATACATACATAAATAGCCATAACTAAAATCAACAATTTCAACAATTTTAACAATTGCAACATTATAGTTTGGTCTGACCAAACTAGATCAAAACAAAAAGTTTCACAAGTTCAATAATCAAAACTTGGTTGATTGGTTTAAGTTTTAGCGCACAAATACAATCAAGTTTTCTCTCCTTCTCTTCTCTTCTTTGGTCATCTTCACTCCATCACTTCTCCATCCTGATCTTCGCTGTCTTCCAACACTTTCTCCAGCATGTCCATGGAGTTGCGGGCCGTGCCCCAACTCTCCTGTTCCAACAGCCTCGGTTTGCAGCAAGGTAGCAAGTCCACATTCACCTTCTGCTCCCGGTTCCTGCAAAAGCTGTTGTGAAGACATAGGCTCACGTTTCGTTCTAGGTCAGCTCTTAAGACCTCTTTCTTCTCATCTTCAGTAACACAAGGCGCTCCAGCTACCCGCTTCACCGCTATGGTGACCGCGTTTCTGTGCGTCAAGAAAGCTCTCTTATAGGCTCCTGGTCCTATATCTAGCTGGAAAGATTGATAGGCTTCCGTGTTCCTCGACATGTGACGCTTCGCGCGTTCATACATCCATGATGTCATCACTGCACGGAACCAAGGCATCAATCTTTGCCTTGACCATATTATTTCAATGGCTTTAGGTATCCTCAGAACCTTGCAGGTGGTTCTGAAAAGATCCAATTCACGGCTCATCTTCACGTTGCTCAGCTGCTCAGGAGTCGGCACGGCCGTCTCCTGCTGACTTGTGTCCGCGTTAGCCTCCAGCCATCTCACTGCTAGCATGGCGCTAACCACCACGATTGACACTTGTTGATTCTGATCGGGCAACCCCGTAGAGTACAACTCCTCCACGTCCCATACTAGCATCAGATTCCCGCGTTTGGGGTACCACAACGTCTGCGCCAAGCAGTGGCAAGGATACTCCCCATGGGTTCTCACTATGTTCCTTCGGGTCCGATATCCTGAGGCTCCCAGCAACGGTTCCACCTCCATCAGAATTCTATGTAAGTCGTCTTTCTCTTCTATGGTGGGGAATTCAGTGGGTAAGGCTCCACTCGCTTTCTGTTTCTGGAACTCACTCACATTGCCTTCGTTTAATCTCAGAAACTCTTCACCCACTACGTCTTGCAACTCGCTTTCAGATCTCTTCGGGACTGCCCGAAAGATCTTTGCCAACAAGTCATATGACCTTTCCGACATTCTGGCCAACCTCACACACTTTGGCACAGAGAAAAGTTGGTCAACCAACACTTGTTGCGTCCTCGCATCCATTACCACCATGTGCGTAGGATACTTGCTATTACAGTATGGCGCGGAGCTTGAACCCACCATATATTTTGAACCAGTCGGTCTGTGATAGGCTTCACTATCCTTCAGATTCATTTCATTTTCTAGAGCTTCTCGCCAGCCCCCAATCTTCTGCTCTGTCTGTAACGCTCCAGGGAATATCTCCACGCTGAGGGACGTCACTAGCTCATGGGCACGCTCTAGGCGCTCAAGCGATTCTATCGAACTCGTCATGCTACAAAATCCCAAGGCTGTGATCAAGTTTA